AAAAAAGGGTACTGATATAAGGGCTTCTGCTGCTTTTCGGGTATCATCGGTTGTGATTCCTTCCTGAACTTGCTGAAGGGATTGCCTAAAATCCCTATACCTGACAAAAATAAAGGGAAAATGATTAATTAATATCAGTGTACAAAGAATACGAATGCCTCAATAGAACATCTTAAATTCTAACAGAGGGTAATCGAGACATTGCATACTTTTTCAAGAACTCGAGGCCACCAGCAGTTCTCGATTCATTCCCTAATAGTTCGATCATCCCTTCCCATAGCTTCCCGAAAGAAGGAAAGAGATTAATTAAATGAACAACAATTTATACAGACATTATTTTAGCGAAATTTATTCAATCTAAAGCCTATTACCTTGAAACTTTCATTAGAAACTGATTTTCCGACAACATCAGACAACTGTTTGGCAATTCTGTTTAAGCGGACTTCATCCCGAGATTGCTTAAGCCAGAAAATGGCTAAACCTTTTTTGCCATGTTTCCAGTAATGAACACCAGCAATCTGCTCGTAAGAATGCAGATTTTGGACAAACCAAACTTCTTCAAATTATAGTTTTCAAAAATTGATAACGAATCAAGCAAATGAAACAAGAAGCAGTTGCAGATGAAAGGAAGTTGCATCAATAATGTCGAGACAATTTTTAGGGATAATTATGAGAAATGTCCTTTAGATTTTACATAATTAAAAGAAAACAAAAAAAAAATAAAAAAATTGAAAACAGGCCAGATAACTTTGGATATTACAAAAATTATCCTGATGTTGGATTTCTAATTAAAATGGAAAACTGTCATGACGAATATTTTATAAATGTGGTAGGATTTTGAAATGATATTTACTTATGAAGAGACGAATAAAATCTCAAGAACATTTTCGTAAATTGAATTATCAGGGTATTGATGTAACAAACTAAAGCCATCAGGGCACTTTTTTTGTAATTAGCCCCCATTTTCACAGTACATGCAGGCTAGCACATTGACCATAAAAAAGAAAACATACCTTCATAATCTTCGAACTAAGATAATCAAGTCCATTGAGACGGCAGATCTCTATGCTCTGCTTAAGAGAACATACACAGTTCACTAAGAATCCCATTAATATATGCTGATGCCTTCAGCTTTTGTAACTTACCTTTTGTAAAACTTGATGATATTGCACAGGCTGCTTGTACAATAATTTTTCCAGTAAGTGCAGTCCTTGTTTCATACATGATGTCAAATATATTGGAGCAATCTGAAGAACCAAAATAATAGATATACATTATATATTAGTCTGAGAGTTGAAGGTAAATGAAAATAGGCTTCGAAATAACAATATCAAAAGAAAAGTCACCATAATGAAAATTATTCGAAGACAATATTACTTCTCAAAATAACAAAACCCAAATTCACAAAAAATACATTCTGAAATCTGGGCCCAAAAGAAAAAGACTGCTTACGTTCCATGTGAAGGCATGAGATGACAGAATCTGGGCATAAATCAACCGGTGAAGTTCTTCCATGCAGATTCCACTGATTTTTTAGCCCTTTCATGCAAAAGTATTTCTGCTTGAGTACTTCCAGCTGTTAACAGCTCTATAGCACGAGTTATCATCCTGTTAGAAGATTAAAAATGTAAATATAGCTTTTGAGTAAATTTATACTATTTTTCTCATTTTGGATCTCATATTGTGCTAGGCTGTAAGATAAAATGGGTTCACCAGATGAGATATCTCACCAGGGACCGAATGATCTTGAGCATTCAGCTAAAACAGCCTAAATCATTAAAAGACTAGTCATATTTTGGCTGCTTGGGAGGTCAGCATATATACTGCAAGGTGAATGGTTTAAATTCCTTTACCTATGTGTTTTCTTCTAGAATCCCGACTAATAAACCCATCAACTTGTGACGAGTAGGTTTTAAATGCATGCACTTCTTAGCTAAGCTATACATGCTTTCTAATCCCTGAAAACAGAACAAATATTTCAAATATTTTCGTTTTTACTGTTCCCCTTTTATGTTCTATTCTCTGGCTAGGCAGCACAAGCTGTACAATAAAGGCTACGAATAAATTAAAATCTAAATTAGCGAAAAATATATTTGCACTAACCGCTGTGAAGGGCCTGATGTACAAAAAGTGGAACACGTAAAGTTCTAGCCAGTGATACGTTACTTTGGAGAGGACACTAGCATTTCCCAACATGACCTGAAGCATATTCTTCAGTCCAAGTCTAGTTTGCTCATGATCACATTGCAGCCAGAATGCAGTGCAGTCCAATTTAATAATTTGACCTCGCCATTTTTCCCATGCCTGATAAATTCCTTTAATATCAGTAGTAGCATAACTTAGTGTACAATATGCAAAACTCCAAAGAGTAGTTTACCTTCATAAACTCGGGTTTGGTATAGAAGCATTCTCCTAATTTGTCTTCCGGTAGATCAGGCCGTAAGCGGGGCATCTGTGATATGAGAAGAGCAACTGCTTCCACAAGCCCATATTCAATCTGTTTCCAATAAAACAAAAAAATAATAATTATCCATTAAATCTCATATATGTACAGTAAAACTTTTTCAAGGATGTGATGAAGCAACATAAGGATTTACACTAAAATATAGTAAGATATGGCAAAGTTTTACAGACCTCGCGAGTTCCTAGCTGATCGGATAAATAGGATCCATGCAAGCGCAACAGCTTTACCTGCAAAGATATATGTTCATTCAATAAGCAGTTTACATGCAATGCATATTAACTTTGATAAAACTAAACGATGGCTTTCCTTTTTTCCTTGTATGCAAAAGTTGGAACTTACAACAATATCAAGCCAGCCTACTGCTAAGGCTGATGACAGAACTTCACAGTATTCTGGATCATTCTCAACTGCCTGAGTGAGACAATGAAAAAAAATTAAACACTAACTTAAAAGTTAATGCTCTAGATGATATTATCAAAAGAAAATCTAGGAACTCAATATTCAATGAGAATGTCAAGAATAGAAAATTTCACTTTACTTTCTTGCAACACCATAACATAGATAATCCAAAAATAAGTGGATTTTCACCGTCATCAAAATGACAATATATATGTCAGGTTTTGAACCATAAATTTCTTCCAACTAAAGCTATAAAAAAATAAAAAGTTGCAGACAATGGCAATAGTTCCCCTATAATTCAATGCTGCATAGAAATTGCAATTTTATCCTCGTGCCAGTATAAATTTGGCTGCTGCTTCATTATGGGGTCAGATAATGGTTTGTACAGACCTAAGAAGCCATGGACATTCCAAGTACATTTACGATTTAAGTGACTGAAATATCAAACTTAACGATTGAACAATATGACAAAACCGGGACAGTGACAAGCTCTTTCTTGGAAAGCCACAAGTTCCGCATGGACAGTTGACTGACTTTTCGAGAACAGGCAATCAAAATCCTGTATAAAAGAACAAGCATTACTGTTTCAAGGGTCAAAACAATGACAAGTGAATGGAAAAAAGGTCAGTATTTGAAAATTCATACAGCTAACCAATCAAGAAGGCGTTCAGGGATCCAAGTCTGAGATTGCTTGTCTGCATAGAACATTTCCATCACCTCCCAGGCAGCTTTAACAAACGTTGGCTCCTCAGCTTTCTGAGCATGCTTGCAAATTGAGTACTTAAAGGATGAAGATGCTAAAAGGTCAGATAAGCAGCATCAATGCAGAAATCAAACCCAAAACTATATTGTACCTTCAATATTGTTTTGGGGTCTTCAAACATTGGAGAAACAGATGGCTTTGAATTATCAAGAAGAGAATTTATTTCCTTGCTGTACTCCATCACATGTTCCCACCTGTTTTGTCCATTGCAAATGGAGCTGGAAGAGTCATTGTTGACAATTCTCCTGGCATAGTGCTAATAATGGACTAGATCAAAATGGCTCAATTAAATTCTAGTGCTTCTTCTATTAGTGAAGTTCTAGAAAAAAAAAATATATCAAACGGCGCAATGCACCTTGGGTCGCTACGGAAACAACCTCCTTGTATAATTACAAGGGTAAGGTCTGCGTACAACTGACCCCCCAGACCCCAACCTGTTGGGAATATACTGGGTATGTTGTTGTTGTTGTTGTAATCTTTTCCTAAAGTAGTTATTCAAGAAATCATTTGGAATGTCTATTGACTAATGAAGAGTGAAAACCAAGAAAAGTTTTTAACAACAAAAGAAAACAGAGCAAACGATCCAGAGACTGCAGCTACCAAAACAAACAAGAAACTGCATAAACTAGCATAAGTAATAGATACAAACAGAAATTGAAACCTCCGTGTATCACCATTACTACTTCAAGTTATGAATAACAATGTAATCATTCTACACCAACCTGAAACTCAATAAAATTTTCCCAGTAGTTATTACATATTGTACATTATATACCATTTTAAGAGCATTAAAATATCACTTAAAGAAGCCATTAGAATCTGCAAAAATGTAATTCTCCTTCAAATATTCATCAAGAATCCTATGGCTAGAACTGCTGAATCCGAACTTGTGGGCATCACTTTTTCTTAATCAATGAACTTGGAATAGAAATTCAACGAATTCTCACGAAAATTCAATCGAAGCTCACAACTCTTGGTCCACACACACAGAAAAAAAGTACACAAGCATGTTGCATTGACAACACAGTTGCATCTCATCCAAATTATACACCATTGATGAAAATTAATCAAACTCTTCAAATCAATATTACCTCAGCTGCAAAAAAGCAGGAAAAAAAGAAGGTAAAAACACAAGGGAGCTCGAATCAAATACCAGTCTTTCTCGTACTGCATCGACTCAATCGAACTCTTTCGCCTCTGAAGAAGCGCGAAGGGACGCAATCCTCCGCCACCGCGCGCCGGAAAATTCTCCTTCGTCTGCATCGCTGAACTTCACTTCCACCATTTCGCCTACGGGCGCATCATCCAGACCAGCGTCCTCGGGCTGCTGGAGGAGCGAGACGCGGAGCGCGTTTCCACGAGATGGAGAGGCGTGCGGGTGGGGCGGCGACGCTGCGGGTCCCGATAGGGTAAACCCTCGGCGCCTCTGCGTCCAAGGAGTGCGGTACGATGGAGGGCGAGCTAAGATCGCCGGAATCTGACGCCACACCGGGCATACTGCCGGAATAGGGAGTGCGGGAGAGAATGAGAGCAGGAGCTATGCTCGTTTCGTTTACACCTAAATTTGAACGCGTAGTTCCATGTTAAAGTCGCTTTCAATATAAGCATTTTAAAGCGCTTTAGCGCTTTTAAATTGAATAAATTAGGCCAAAAAATCTCTGCAATTTCACAAAAACCCTACTCACAGTCCTCCCCTCTCTAAAAAATTTCCAAACCCTAGAGAGAGAGAGAGCTGCAATTTTGGGAAAAAATGTCGATGTCCAAGAGCTCGAAGATGCTCCAGTACATCAACTACCGGATGCGTGTGACGATCCAGGACGGCCGCCAGCTCATCGGCAAATTCATGGCCTTCGACCGCCACATGAACCTCGTCCTCGGCGACTGCGAGGAGTTCCGCAAGCTGCCGCCGGCCAAGGGTTCCAAGGAGGAGCGCGAGGACCGCCGCACCCTCGGCCTCGTCCTCCTCAGGGGCGAGGAGGTGATCTCGCTCACCGTGGAGGGCCCCCCGCCCCCCGACGACGGCCGCCTCAAGACGGCCTCGGCCGGCGCCATCCCTGGGCCGGGAATCGGCCGCGCGGCGGGAAGGGGGGTCGTCGCCGGCCCGATCTCCGCGCAGCCCGGCCTCGCAGGCCCAGTCCGCGGCGTTGGTGGTCCAGCTCCGTCCATGATGCAGCCCCAGTTCTCTCGGCCCCCTCAGATAGCGGTGCCCCCCATGGCCTACCCCCAGCAGCCGCCCGTGGTCAGGCCGCCGCCGCCGGCGGTGGCTCCACCTCCGGGAGGGTTCCCGCCTAGGCCCGGGATGCCGATGCCTCATCCACCACAGTTCAGGCCAGGTATGACGCCGCCAGGTGGGTTCGGTCCTCCTCCTCCGGGTCAGTTTCCACAGAGGCCTCCGATGGGGCCGCCAGGTCAGATGATGAGGGGCCCACCACCGCCAGGTGGGCCACCTAGGCCTGGAATGCCCCTACCTATGCAGCAGCCACCTAGGCCGGGTATGCCGCCACCACCTCCAGGTGGACAAGCTCAAATGTTTGGTCCGCCTAGGCCGGGAATGCCACCTCAGAATCAACAATAGGAAAAGTGATTTGTTCTGGTAAGTTGTTGTTAATTGTTTTATTGTTATGAGAAATTGCTTTGCTTAATTCAAGTGTTGTGTGCACTAGTTTTCTTATACTTGGAAGAATGTGGTTGTTGCTTTTATTTTGGGCTGCTTTCTTCAGAAATACTGAATGGCTTGATGTATGTATAATTGCTCTTTTGGTTTGAATTGTTCGTTTTAAGTTTGTGCAGTGACTTTAGCTTAGTTGCCTTACTTTTGCACGAATATAAAGTGATGATTCCGATGTCATTTTTTTGAAAGTACAACTGCATAGTTAGCCTAAGAGTTTATTTGTTAAGCAATATAAACTAGCTTATAGTTTATTTTTAGCTAGCTATGTAAGCTTCCCCCAACAACAACAACATACCCAGTATATTCCCAAAACGTTGGGGTCTAGGAGGTTAGTTGTACGCAAACCTTACCCTTGTAATTATACAAGGAGGTGCATTGCGCCGTTTGTTATATTTTTTTTTTTCTAGAAACTTCACTAGTAGAAGAAGCACTAGAATTTAATTGAGCCATTTTGATCTAGTCCATTATTAGCATTATGCCAGGATATTTTTCTCAAATAATGACCATTAATTTGCCTAGGACCACATTTACTGTCCCCAGTCCTGGCAAAACAACAGAATCAAATTACAGATCATTAACATAATCCTGTTTCCTATTAGCAGCTTCTTCAGAAATTCAAATCAATAATGTAATTTGAAGAAGTATGGACAGAAGAACAGACATTGAGAAATATGTCCTCACAAAGATATACCCAAATCCGAATTCATATACCCAAATACCTTTGTTTGGTGCCTGGTGCTCCTGCCTCTGCTTCATTTTTTTTTTCTGCACAATGTAAATAATGTCAGAATTTTAAATATCAACGCATCCACCAACAACCAGTGTGAAAAATATTGTTGATGTTACACTGTATACAACTGACCGTACAATCATCACTAATAGTGAGCTACAGAATATGGCATATATACCAAAGTCTAGAGCACAATCTACTTACCATCTGTTTCTCCTGATGCTCAGCACGTGCAATTAAATCTCTTCAAGGCACCTTCTGATAGTCAATCTCATCTTCAGGAGTTTCAGATAAATTAGGATTGGTTTGGAAGGACGAATGATGGACTTTTTTAAACAGCTGGAGTTTATGCATAAGCTTCCTTAGGTAGCTTTTCAAAAATGCTAGTTGAAATTTTATTTTAATCAACTAATTTTACCAAACACTTCTACAATATCAGCTTGCTTTTCGCAGCTGATCTTTTCAGCCATCAGCCATGCCCATAAGTTGTCAACTTTGAGCTCGAAATACACTTATCAGCTATTAGCAAAGCTAGGTTTGCCAAACATAGCCTAAATGGACTTAAGGAACTCTTTGAATTAGGCTTGCTTTTTTTGGATAGGAATATATACTAGTATGTTGATGGTATATTCAGATAATTATTGCGTTCCCAAACATTTTTCAGTCACTATGAGATTGATATGCTGATTTTCCAAACCCGTTTATTTTGGGGATACATAAAGAATATATCTTCACTCATATTGAGAATCTATAGATCAACAGACTGTCTTTCCTCCTAGACTTTTTTTTTCTGAAATCTTCACTAAATAAAGATCATTTCTTTAGTCCATAATCTACACAATTTCATAAGCGGCATTTGAATCACATTATAACAATTCTTCAGCATTCTTTTCTAATTCTCTAGGTTTGTCTAATTTAAATCACATTTATTGTTTTCCCATGATGAAATTTGAAAATATGGTCTTTTGTGGCAGGAATTTCTTGGAGTTTGTTAGATCGATGGCTGTCAAGTTTACCCGAAGAGAAGCTGTGGTTAGGTTGAGGATATGTTATCAGGAGTATAGAATCAGTAATAACTTATTTAAGATTCCTTATGTTTTTGGTGATCAGGCACATTTTGTATGAACTTATTAAGTTGCTTGTGATGTATTTGAACCCTCAGCACCGACTCAAGAAACAGTCCCTATCTTAACTGATTTTTTTTTCTTTGGATGCATAAAAGCTATAAACGAATGATTGTGCGCAAACCACCACACGATTATGCATGAAGGTTGAGAGAGTTGCTTACGGTCTTCATCAATAGATAGTTTCATAGTAGCTTCTTAAAATGTTATCAAACAATCAAGAAATTATTACATATATGTTCTTGTTATAGTGTTTACTTAGTTCCAAGTGAGCGGGTTTCAAGCTCGGACATATCAGTTAGTTTAAAAAGTGTGTCTTCTGAAAGTGGGCATATGTATTCTATAATCTTCGAATTTGGGCCTATTGGTTGAAATTGGTTTTGGAGAAGGTAAAAACAAGGCAGTCATTGTTTTGAAAATAAGCCTGTAGATCATAATCTTCACTAGTTGGAGAGTACTCAGCATGGTATTAGTTAGGGGTAAGCAAAACCGAGCCGTACCGAGCAATTCGGTGCGGTTCGGTTCGGTTTTTTTAATGTGAAAAATTTTCGGTTTCGATTTTTTTCTACATTGTTGTGCGGTTATTGTTTTTCAGAAGATAGAAGTTTGGTTTTCGGTTTTGTTCTATTCAGTGAGGTTTTGCACCGAATCGCACAAAATTGAATAAATTGTATAAAGGAACCGAGATAAAACCGAAAACCGAGCAGAACCGTGCATTTCAGTGCGGTTCGGTTATTTTAGTGTAAAAAATTCATCTCGGTTTTTTCTAAGTTGTGGTGCGATTTGGTTATTTTTTATTTTTTATTTTTAGGTTCGATTTTCGGTTTTCACTATTCGGTGCGGTTTTTCACCGAACTTCGCCGTTACTCACCCCTAGTTTTATCTCAAATTGTTCATAGTTATTGCCTATTAATCACTAGTCATGATTCATTAGGCCATTACACAAGCAGCTAAATTTGGAAGCATAAGGTCATGTTTACAAGTTACGAATCATACCAACTAAAAATATAAAAGTATAAGATGATCATCTTTACTAGTTTTGAATCTCTCAACGTGACTCACCACCATTGATGAATAGGCTAATTTGACCCTATTGCCCTTATATGGTGTGTGTTGATCCAACGGTTCAGAACTCGATATAGGCAAGTAGGGTGGAAGTGATTATACAATAATTTTAACATGCAAATCGAGGGAATATATTCTCAAATTGTTTTGTTTTTTCAATTGGTATAGATTCTTTTTGTTTTTACGAAATCATGGATTTTCCAGGATATTATAATAAAAATTAAAGATCTCATTGAAAGCTTACAGCATATTGAATTCTTAGAAACAATGCTAGGGCCATACATGGATTCCACCATATTATACACTGGAGAAGCATTTTTACCTTTTTCCTATTGTAATATGGGCTACTGGATTATCATCCTGGGCTCTCTTATGTGGAACAAAAGGTCTACTAGTTTTCAAACAATATGGGCCACTGCAAGCGTATTGTGCCGTAAAAATAACTGATCCCCCCTGTACTCACTACAGGCCCACATACTCACCTGCTTCGTTTTATCTCGTGCAAAAAGCTTAAGCCAGCCTTTCCTTGCAACCTGAAAAAGAAGGAAAAAATCGTGATTATGAACTCTTTCAGGTACCCTTCTTCCAACTCCAAAAAGGTAAATAAAAATTCGTCCTTTCTTTGAGCTTTTCATTTTTTACTTTCTCAACATTTTTTACTTTCTAAATTTGTTAATATTACATTTAAAAAGTT